TTGTATCACGACGATTAGCGCGACTTCACACTTGTTTCTAACCTTCGTACTGAGGTGTGCATGTTTACGCTTTGTTATACTCCGGTTTATGCATTTATTAATGTCAGATTCGAGACGGCGCCTCTTTCCTTTTGGTAAGTCTGAGCACTCTTACTGGAACTGAATTAGTTTAATTTGAGATAGGTCTTGTAATTTGTGTTCTTCTAGGACAGCTCTCTGGTGAATATTTCAAAATATAGAATAAAATGACCATCTACAGCTATTAAAACCTATATTGCTCTCGTTGTTTCTTTTAGTAGTGCTAATTTTGAAGAAGGAGCATCAGGAATAGCTGCAAAAGGATTATGTATTCCATTGAATCCTCCAAAATAGTTGTCAAATGACCAACGTTGCTGCCATCCAACTTGTTCGAACAAACCTAAATATTATACATTATTTGGTAGAAGTTGTTAAACTAAACTTTCACAAATTAGGACAAAAGATCTCGTTTTTGTTTCATTTCGTTTTTTACATTAAACTGGTATTTTATTTTTTATTCGTGATTGTCCTTTTTTTGCTTGTTATTGCTATGAGTAGATACTTAACTTTTCTTTGAATAAAATTTTAGGTAATAAGAAACTGACATTTAAAATAGGTCCGGATTATTAATATAAAAATGCCTGAGAGTTAGTCCAAATGGTATATTCAAAGAATTTTGAATTTTGATGGTCATGCAAAAACAAAAAAATATTGAAGCAGACCCAACCGCTTGCCTGACTGTCCATCTATTAATTTAGACTGAGCAAAATTATGGGAATTCGTGTTATTTGACTTGCAAACTCATTGCGAAAATCGGAGAGTAACTGTCAACTGTTGGTGATATCTCTTAGTGGAAGAAAACGGCACACGTATTCTGATTCGTTTTCTTACGTAGATTCCCTATCTGGCGTCTGTAGAAAAGCGTGCTCTAGAAAACTAACATACGTTCAAGATTTTTGGATTTCGTTTTCAGATTGAAATTATAAAAATACTCAAACTGCTGGAGGAAGACAACTTCAAAAAGCAAAAGGTTCTGTATTAGACCTAACTTTTCTTCGACGACAAACACATGGTTTTATTCAGTTTTCACAAAATTCTGAACAAAATTCTGGATCGCTTATGATTTTATCAAGAAAGATCAAAAAGTTAGAAAATAACAGATTTTCCTGATTTTCTAAGTGAGGAATTTGACTATCCAAAAATTTGGTTTTCATAGTAAACTAGTTTTCCTTGAAAATCTGTTATTTTCTAACTTTGTGATCTTTCTTGATAAAATCATAAGCGATCCATAATTTTGTTCAGAATTTTGTGTTCTTACCAGCTATGTCATTTATAATTGTTTTTGGTGACCTTACGGGTTTTCTCAGAGATGCTTAACCCAAACTGTTGGGACCGGATTCGATTGACGTATGTATCATAGAATAAGCCGTAACGAAAATCAGAAAGAGAAGAGAAACAGAAAGAAAAAACTAAGAGAACTGCACTAAGTTGAATACAGAGAAAAAAATAAAAGACAGTATTTGCGACCGTAGTAAAGAAAAAAATATAGACAGAGAATAGTTTACACATTAATCGTATTGACATTCTTCATGTATTTTATGCATACTTTTAGGGTCGATAAACCAATTTTTTTCTATTGACGACAACACATTCACATATCTAGTTAGTGAATAAACTCTAACCAAATAGGAACAGCAACTACTCACAAAAGTACAAATAACAAATATAATAAAAGTAAAAATGGAATCATGTAACTCACAAGAAATGCGTATCGAAAAAAGTAAAGGAGAATTAACTGAATGGTCAACTTATTCGTTTTCCAAATTCACCATGACACCATTATCAAGTTACCAGTTATATGATTTTACAGAAAATTTTTTAAAAAAGAATTCCTATTTATGCGAAGCAGAGTGGTATCACAACTTTTCTTATTCTGATGCATTATTGAATTACAAATACGCACGTAAATTAGTTTTAATTAATCTCGAAAAATCACCATTGGTCTGCGTACACTTGAAGGATGAAATTCCTTTCATAGTTTGTCTCTATTTCTGCTGTGTAATATCGCGAATACCGGTACGAACCATTTATGCACTGCGAACAAGAAAGTGCTCTTCGGTGAGGTTTAGGACACATGAAAGTGACGCAAGTCACCGTCAACGTGAAAACAGGAAAAAAGGCACTTTCATGTGTCCTAAACCTTACCGAAGAGCACGTTTTTTGCAATGTGGAATCGATCTTTATTTTATCTTAATAATACTAGTGATTTCTTCATTTTTTATAAATTATGAACCGTTCAAGTATATTAGAGAAAAAACTCATAAAAATGTGACCAAAGCATATAACTACAGAACAAAACTCTTAACTTTAGCTGATATTTCGAATTCTACTAAAATAGACTTTGCAGGAAAAGGTCCCAATGTGCAGAGAAGTGTCGTCTACCTTAATGAATTTGTGTACTTTTTGTATATACAGAAACATCAGAAATGGTAGACAACGATATTAGTGTAAACGAAGAACATAGCCTAGGCCCAAAAATATATTTTCTAATGATCCGTCTCTTTGGTAATGGTGCATTTGATGACATTATGAACGAATTACCAAATTTTCATTCATTGGGTATTAATGCTATATGGATAAGCCTAGTCCATCAACAAGTTCAAGTACCAGCGGATGAATTTGGAGAGAATAATCACGGTTATTGGCCTAAATCACGTATTTCAATTGATAAAAACTTAGGTAGTAAAGAAAGTTTTTGTTTACTTATACAGAAAGCTCGTGATTTTAACATAAAAATTTGTGTGGATATTATACTAAATCATTTTGGTTATGATAACATATTTCTGATCGACGATCAATACATTCATATTACAAATAGTGAGTATTTTCGTCAACAATCGGAAATATCATCCGTAACAACACAGAGTGAATGTGAACTATTGAAAAAAAATCGACTGTGAATCCAACGAACATATCCTGTTAAAATCTCAACAAGAGTTTATTGTATATCCGTTATTTAATTTGCCATCGCTCAAACATGAAAAGATTCATGTACGGAATTATTTAATTAATAGTTACAAAAAATTTATTGATTATGGTATTGAGCTATTTCGTATTGATGCTTGTAAACATATATCATTAGACTTTATGCAATATTTTATTGAACGAATGAATGGAATAAAATACTTTATACATGAGTTTGTGACTGGTAATCCTCATACATTGAATGTTTTTGTCAAAAATATGGTCAAAAATGCTACTCAATATACAGGAAAAACAATGTATTGGTTTGATTTTCCACTTATGTATGAATTTCATGTTCATTTGTGTTAAAAGTTGAATGGATCGTACTCAAAATGCAAAAACTCAAGTTCGAGTCCGAGTTCGCCAAAAAATCTTCTAGTCCGGACTCGGACTCGCCCATGCCTGGTGTCAACATACGGTAAAATTTTGAAAATTTTGAAATATCACACGCTATATTTCAGCTGTTCCAGTTTGACCATTTTCCCAACAAAATCACCTCTAAATTTTCTGAATTTACTACTCATATAGTAATACTCTTTAAGCCATGCCAATTTGTTTCTATCATAACATGAGTTTTCGATACATTATACAGTTCGAATCTGACATTAATAAATGCATAAACCGGAGTATAACAAAGCGTAAACATGCACACCTCAGTACGAAGGTTAGAAACAAGTGTGAAGTCGCGCTAATCGTCGTGATACAAAGTAGTCTGATCTTCAACGGTCCAAGTTCTTATCTTTCAAACCTTACCAAGTACTATCTTTTTCAATTCTATCTTCACATTCTGTCACTCCACAAAATGGTGCATATATAATACATTGATTATTTAACCCCTCTAGAAAATCAGTCCAATTATCAGCAATAACCGTATGATTGCACAGCTCTGATTCTGCTCTATAAGAAACAAAAGTCCATAAACAGATAGTATAATGATAAAAGTGTAGACACATTACTTTGTAAATAAGTCATTATGCATTTGATAAAGTAAGGTTTTTAAAGTTTGTTCACAATTATTCAAAGGTACCATTAGCGCAAAATCGACTTTTTATACGGGGAATATAATCGGTCCAAATTTGTTTTCTGAAGAGCTTATTATGTGAATCGACGGGCAGCAAAGTATCTCCTGATTCAAATCACTTTTCGCATTTTGGCGGGAATAGTGGCGCCACTTAAAACGCGCTACTGTTTTGGAGGATTCAATGGAATACATAACCCTTTTGCAACTATTCCTGATGCTCCTTCTTCAAAATTAGCACTACTAAAAGAAACAACGAGAGCAATATAGGTTCAATATGTGCATCGTGTAGAGCATAAAAAGTTAGCTCGGGAACATTAGGCTTGTTTTTCAAAAAAACATGTGGAACATGGTTTTTGTGGTGATTTGTGTTAGAACACACTTTCATGAGTATATATAGTTTTTTTTCTCTTCGTATAGAAAATTTCAGGAATGTTTATTGCTTGAAATTTCGGCCAATGGAAATTCAATTAAAACTTCTCTATGAATATATATTCTAAAATTTGCTTAGTGATTTCTTTTTAGCGTATTATGATTAATATCAGCTAGAATTAGACAATTTAGGATAAAAGAAACGATCT